TCTCTGGGGGAACCCCGAGGCTCCCCCTTTCCGAGGGAATGCGGGCATGCCCGGGCACCGGAGCCGTGCAGAGTGGTGGGTTTGAAACCAGAATGAGCGAACATTTTACTTCTAAAAACTACCTCACGGATACGGATCATGGCATACAGACCCTGGCAAGGCAAACGGACACTCGAGAAGCGGAGACCCATGGTGGTCCTGCTGGGAAGGAGGCAGGAGACATTGATACCGATGTGGAAATGGTCATGGATGACCAGCCAGGTCCGAGTCACCGAGGAAGGCCGGAAGGGCTTCGCAGTGCCAGCAGGTGTGGCGCTGCGGAAACCTCCAAAAATGGACTGATTTCGAAGATGCCCAGTAACAGGAGGAGAATCGTGTCTTCCTCTGAAGGAGATTATGGCTCCTCGGAGGAAAATGATAAATAGGACATCCCCAGGAAACCCGACGGGGAAGTAGATGAGGAGGCATTTGCGAAGAAGCTAAGACCTCGAGGAAGACCTGAAACGACGGGGCAGTACAAAAATAAGAAGGCCTTCTTAGCTCAAAGGAAAATCTTTGAGCAGAAGATGAGGGAAGAGGCTCTTCTAAAAGGTCTGCTAGACCATCCAAAAGAAGAGTTCTGGGATTGCTCCAACAACCGCAAATACCGTGCGGAGTTACACAGGGTTACGGAGCAAATGGAGGATGCCCCGTTCAGAGATATCACTGCCTCGGTGATGGAGGCAGCGACAAAAATACTGGGATTCTCGGTTCGCTCTAAGAACTTAAAGGGCACTCACGTTAAGGTGCTACGAGACGCCTCAGCGGCCATTGCAACGGGTGTCACTTTGATGGCACAACGTATGGCGTCCTGTCAATGCGGGGAGAGCGAGGACGTCTTGGAGGAACTAAGAGCTGAAAACAAGCAGCTCCGCATCGAACAGGGTGAGATGAGGAAAAGGATGGAGGAGTTGGAGAGAGCACTTAGGAATATAAAGGAAGCATCTCCTTCAAAGGAGATATCCTCCTCGCCTCCGGTGCAGGGAAGGGGCGTGCGGAGTATAAGGGAGGTACCACCATCAATGGCGATATCCTCCCTGCCTCTGACACGGGAAAACAGACAACAGAGTATAAAGGGGGCATCGTCGTCAACGGCGATAGCCCCCTCGCCCATGGTGCCTGCTAGGGAAAAGGAAAAGAATGCGGGGTCCAGAAGTAGGTGCATCATGCCCCATAGGTAGACTTGGAAGAAGAAGGGGAAATGAGTCCGGTGGGGTGCACCGATGAGGTGCAAAAGGGACAGATAAAACACCCTGTCCAGCCTGGGAAAGAAGTGTCCAAAAAGGGTAGTAGACCTGGCACAACGATAAGGGAAATCATTCCCTTAGACGTAAAGGTCAGGCTCGAGAAAATGGCCGTGCCAGGGCAAGCAAAGGAACCATGGAGGAGAAAATCACCTCTATGGTTCACAAGGCGATGGAAACGTGGGCATCGCGAAAAGAGACAACGCACCTGACATCCAGCAATGATGCCCAAGGGGGAGGTAACCAGAAGAAGGGAAAGAAGAAGAAGGGCATGGTAGGTCAGGATCAGGGTAAACAGGGACCAATGAGGAAGAGGGAGCAGTGGCCTCAACTTCGGGTCCCTTCTTCCCTGATTGAAGAACCTCGCCGCTGCCCCAGAAGGAGGGAAAAGGAATGGGTGACAAGGAAACTTGGGTCCAGGTTGTAAAGCGCAACAAGAAACCTAAAGTGGAGAAGAGGGAGGAGAATAAGAAGAATGAAACGGAATCTGGGAAGAGAATGGGGACAGATGGGACGGGTGATAAAAAACCTAAGAAACCTAGACGCAAGGTCCCAAGCACTGCGGCGGTATCAATCACCACCAGAGACGGAAAATATAAGGAGATCTTGGCGGAGGCAAAGAAGAGGATAAACATCGATGAGATGGGGATCACTAGAATTAGGACAAGGCAGGGTGCTACAGGAGCCCTAATTTTAGAGATCCCAGGAGAAGAAAAGGACACCAAGGCTAACCTATTTGCCGCAAAGTTAAGGGGAGTTTTGGAAGATAAGGCGAGAGTGAATCGGCCTCAGAAGCTTGGGGGGGTCAGACTCCGAGGGTTGGAAATATCCACCACCGAGGAAGAGGTGGCGGAATGCATTGCTAGGGAAAGGGGATGCTTGGCCTCGGAGATTCAGACGGGAAAAATTAGGACCACTACAGCCACGGTTTCCGTTCACTTTGGGCCTCTTATGGCGGCGAAAAAGATCGCCGAGAAGGGGCAAATATCTATGGGATAAACCCGTGTCAGGACAGAGCTGCTGGACGCAAGGCCCCTCCAATGCTATAAATGCCTAGAGAGGGGCCATGTCCAGTAGAACTGTAAAAGCAACCTGGACAGGCGTGGCAATTGCTATAGGTGCGGGGAACAGGGTCATCTGGCCGGGGACTGCACCGCCCCCGCTAATTGTCAGATATGTGCGGAGGTGGGGCAGTCCTCTGGGCATAGAATGGGTGGCCCTGCGTGTCACCCACCAAAAGGGAAGAGAAGGCAGGGGGGACAACAGGCAGGTGGGTGCATCCGCACCGAAGCCACCCGAACCTGCAGTCCCACCTTTGATGGAAAAAGAAGAAAGGGAGAAGAAGTCCCCTTCTCCTCCTCCACCATCTGTGCAACCCCCTACTCCTGTCGATGTTCAGCTGGAAGGGGGGAGATGGAGGTGGAGAGAAGGGCGAAGAAGAAGGTACGCCCTCTCACGGACAGCGGGAGTGAAGGAGCGGAGGAGCCAGCTGAAAAATTGGTAATCCAATCAGAATAATGGCTACACGGCTCCTTCAATCCAACCTGCACCGCGCTCGGCAGGCGATTGCTCTTTTTGAGCATACCATGGCTGAGCGCGGTGCAGGTCTAGAAGTGGCGGCGGAGCCCTATAAAGTCCCCAACAACCATCCAAGATGGTTCGAGGACCAATTGGGCTCCGTCGCCATAGTATGGAGGGCGAATGATAATTCGCCTCCCGCTGAACTAGTGGAAAGCGGGAGTCACTTTGTCGTGGCCAGGTGGGGGGCCCTGATCGTGGTCGGGGTCTACCTCCCCCCAACAAAGAGCCTGGGCCTACCTAGTTTTGGGTCCAGTCTCGACGATATAGAGAGGGCCGTAGCACGGTACCTCCCTGGACCTGTCATCATCGCTGGGGACTTTAATGCGAAGTCATTATTGTGGGGTTCCCGGCGGGGTGACAGGCGGGGGGAGGTAGTGGAGGAATGGGCCGCGGGCCTGGACTTGCACCTATTAAACGTAGGGAACGAGCCAACGTTCGTAGGGCCGCAGGGGGATATCTATAATAGACCTCACCTGGGATACCCCTGCGGCCTTGAGACGGGTGCAGTCCTGGAGGGTGGCGGACGATTTAGAATCTCTATCAGATCATTTATTGATCGAAGTAAAGCTGCCCGTCACCCTCAATGGCCTGCGGCCACAGCGCAATGATGAACCCCGACCAGGGAGATGGGCCTTGAGCAAACTGAACAGAGAATCTCTGGAGTTAGCTTTGGAGGTTGCCACCTGGCCACGGCAAAAGGAGGGGCAGGATTTCGACTCTGAGGTATCAGACTTTATGGAAATCGTTGCACATGCGTGCAACGAGTCCATGCCCAGAGTTGAGTCCTGCCCCAAAAGGTCCGCCTGGTAGTGGACCAACCATATTGCGGAGTTACGGCAAAGGACGGTCCACCTCAGGCGGATCTTCAGAAGGCACCGGAACAATCCGCATCAAAACCCCGAGGCCACCCAGGCCGCCCGTATCGAATATTGCAGAGCCGCAATCACACTGCGGGAAGCGATAGGGGCAGCCAAGGGAAGGGGGTGGGACACGCTCCTCCTCTCGTTGGATGCGAATCCGTGGGGGCGTCCGTATAAAATGGTTATGAAGAAGCTCAAACCATGGGCGCCCCCGTTAACGGTGACGCTGGATCCCCGGTTCTTAGAGCGGGTCATGGGGGCCCTTTTCCCGTTTCGGGAGGGGCTCTCTGTGACCCCATATAGAATCCCTACCCCCAAAGAACAAGGGGAGGTACCGAGGGTCACCGAGGAGGAGGTGGCCGGGGCCATCGAGGGGGTCAAGAGCAATAAAGCTCCTGGACCCGATGGTATCCCCAGCCGAATCCTTACCCTGGCCTCGGGGTATATATGCGAAAGGCTCTCGTGTATATTCATGAGAGCCTTGAGGGAAAGGCGGTTCCCTCCAGTCTGGGGGAGGGCCAACGTGATCCTCCTCCGTAAAGAGGGCAAGCCGGAGGATTCCCCCTCCGCGTACTGGCCCATATGCCTCCTCGACGAGGCGGGCAAAGTCTTTGTGAGGATAATTGCGGCCCGCCTCAAGAGGCATATGTCCCGGGAAGGGCCGAACCTCAGTGACGGCCAATTCGGCTTCCGAGAGGGGAGATCGACGATAGACGCGATCGAGCGTCTCAGACTCCTCTCGGGGGCCATTGTGGAGAAGGGCGGGATGGCGGTGGCGGTGTCGTTAGACATCGCCAACGCGTTCAACACCCTGCCCTGGGGTAAGGTGTTAGAGGCCATGCGTACGCATGTCGGCTTTCCGCCTTACCTCACGGCCGTCATTGGGGAGTACTTCCGGGGTCAGCGTCTCTGCTGGACTGACGCCGACAGCAAGGTGCGCGAAAGGGGGATGTATTGCGGGGTTCCACAGGGGTCCGTGTTAGGCCCGCTCCTGTGGAACCTCGGATACGACACAATCCTCCGTGCTGTCCTCCCCCCCGGCTGTGACATGATTTGTTACGCGGATGATACACTCATCCTAGCCGGGGGGAGAGACTGGAGGGATGCCATCAATAAGGCGAACCTGGCGGTGGCGATCGCCGTGGGCTCAATCAGGAATCTGGGTCTGGTGATGGCGGAGAGGAAAACGGAGGCCATTTTCCTCCATGGCAAGAGAGCCAAGCCACCCCAGGTCCAGATCAAAGTAGGAACGCTCAGGGTTTCGATAGAGGCCTAGATGAAATATCTGGGCCTCACCCTGGACAGCACTTGGTGCTTCAAGAAACATATAGGCCGCCTGGTCCCCCGACTCAAGTCAATCTCGGCGAGATTGGGCAGACTTATGTCCAACATCGGGGGACCGGGGCAAAAGGCCCGTCGCCTCCACGTGGGAGTGTTAAACTCGGTCGCGCTCTATGGAGCGCCAGTATGGGCCGAGGCCCTGGCCGTCAACCGACAAATGGGCGCGCAGTTGCGCAAAGCGCATAGAGTGTTGGCGGTCAGGGTCATCAGATGGTATAAAACTATATCCCACGTGGCGGCGACGGCTCTGGCGAGCATGCCCCCCCTGGAGCTCCAGACATTAATATACAAGAGAATGTACTTTGGAAAGAGGGAGCTCCAGGGGAGGGTAAGGGAAGACGAGGCGCTCGCCAGAGCTATAAAGGATATGAAGCACCAAACTCCTCCATAGATGGCAAAGGATGCTGGTGCACGCCAGGTACGGGAGGAGGGTCGTCGAGGCTGTCCAGCCCTGCCTACACGAGTGGATGGGCAGGAATTTCGGAACCCTGACGTTCAGGCTGACACAGGTGCTCACCGGGCACGGATGCTTCGGTGAGTACCTTTGTCGAATAGGGAAAGAGCCCACGACGAGATGTCACCACTGTGACTACGACCACGACTCCGCGCAACACACAGTCCAAGACTGCCCGGCATGGGCAGTGGAGCGCGGAGCCGTGGTCGGGGAACTGGGCCAGGATCTCTCATTCCCAACGGTGGTGAGGGCCATGTTGAAAGGTGAGAGGAAATGGCAATTATTCGCCTCCTTTTGTGAGACAGTAATGCTCCAAAAGGAGGCAGCGGAGGAAATCCGCCGGCAGGCGAAAGGAAGAGGGAAGAGCCAGAGGAGAAGGCAGCGCCACAGGGAGTGGCGAAGAAGTAGGAGCAGGAGCAGGGATGGGGTGAACTCGTCAGAGGAGGCACTGAGGGCCATGCTGAGGCAGCAACCTCAACCGCTTCCCCCTCCCCAAACTGCTCATCTCTCTGCAAGAGACAGAGGAAGGGCCCCCAAGAGGCGACGACTCGTGGGAGGGGGGCGGTGGTGCCGGAGTGTCCCCCCGTCCACTGGCGTGTCATCGGTGGCTGGGTGGGTGACGGGGAGGGGATCGGGACATCCGTCCTTAACCCCCAGCCGTGGTCCTCCAACCCCGGCTCCCAGTTTGGGGGCCGGATAACAGTAAGGGGGGGAGAGAGTGTCGGTGGCGTCGTCACCGGTTAAACACCTCTCCCCCCCTCAGCAGGGCCCTCCATAATGGTGGGCCTGCAGGAAGAGGTCTACAAGACCTTTCCCATCCCTCCTTTGGAGGTGGGAGTGCCCGGCGGCTAGGGGATCATTTTCCCCCGTAACCACCGGGCGGGAGGGTGGGGCATCGGGCGGGGATTCCCGATGTCCCAGCTATCCCTCCACACGTAGGGCCGGCTGAGGAGATGGATCAGCCGGTCGCACAACATGCATTGGCGGCGCCCCGACTGGCTGGGGACGGTGGTTGAAGCGCAGGCGTTGCCAGCTTCCCCCTTCCCAGCCGAAGAGGCGGGGCGTGAGGGGTGTAAAAAGGGGAGCGGCGGTCGAAGCAGGGGAGGGGAAACGAGCTCCGGCTCGCTTCCCCCTCCCCTGGAAGCGGCGGTTGAAGATGAGCCTTGGTTCGCTTCCCCCCTCCCTTTCCACCCCTCGGGGATCGACGATGGTCTCGGAGCCTCGATCAGCAGTTACATGGCTCCGGGGCCCCGATCCAAGTCCCTTCGCAGCGCCACCCGGGGAGGTTTTAGCCGGTAGGAGTCCGGCATAACCCTGACCCTTCCCCGAGGTTCAGGGTATCCATCATGGATTTCCTCCTCGTAAAAAAAAAAAAAAGAGGTGAAAATTACCTCGAATTTTTTATATATAATCCTACATCTTTTATTGCATATTCTTATAGTCCTCTTATTCAGACCCTTTCAAAATACTATAATTATATTCACTTTGGGTCAGCCGTTTCAAGGTTATCGAGGTTTTTATGATAAGATGTCTAGCCAACTAAGGTAAGATCGGCGGGTAATCCGACAAACGAAAGCAAGATTGGTGGTTGATCCAGGAAATGGGGGCAAGATCGCGGTGATTATAAGGATATCAAAATAAAAGTGATCCTTAATCAAGATGTGATAATGGGCCTAGCAAAGAGAAGCTGCTGGTGTTTGTATATTATAGTAAATGGCTTGATCATATATATATATATATATATGATATATGACACTGATCGAATCATCCGTGGCACTTGCAACAGCGGCCGAGCTGCACCGTGCGTGACGCGCTCGGTCCTAAAACAAGCTGTATCTTGAAAACTAAAAGTCTGCCCATTTTGATCTTGGAATCATTTTAAAGAGCAAGAATTCTACTTTTTTAAAGATATTTTCCAAGAAAATCAAAGATGTCTGAATTTGAGAAAAAACAATTTCTTTCTTATCCTTCAAAAATTTTAAATAAATTTAAATAAATTTTAATAAACTTAAATAAATTTTGACTTAAAAACAAAACTGATTTCATAGGATTAAAGGGCGCGAAAAGACCTTTAGAAATCACTCCTTGTTTTTGAAATTCGGAATGGTCTACTGGAACTTACCGGCGTTTGAAGTTGGACACAACGGCCCAAATGCTAAAACTTCAAGCCTCTGTTACTAGACAACCCGTTGGTCGTGAGTCAAACAATTTGGCAAAAAATCTTAGTTGTGATAGGACTACAATTTGTACAAATTTCAGCATAATCGTACAACTTTGAAAATTTGGGTGTATCACTTCATATGGAATGCCCCATATATGCATTCTATTTATTCAAGTTTTTCGAGTAGACAATATCCAAAAACTATTATGTACATAAGTACATATGTCTTTGCCGACAATTTATTTATAATACGGGAATAACCTCAAAATCCAAAATCATGCAAGTTCTATATAATTCTATACTTACTCATTAATTTATTGTATAACTCTGTTTCACTTGATAGAAGTTTTAACGAGAGCATGTCATTATTGACTTTGAAAGAAATGCTTAATTCTTTTGGTTGTCCCATAGTGATATTTACGTAAATGCATATATTTTCTTTCAATCCGAGGCGAATCGTTCTTATGCGCAATCATCAAGTCATGAGTGTTTCATTGGACGTGCAAAAAAACTTGCACTGTCGGTGAACTCGGGCAGTGTCGCCTCAACTCCACGAGTTCCTAGTGCGCACTCAATGTATCCCAATGAAAAACGCTATAAGTCAAAGTTGCCATACTTTTTGTGTACAAGCCGATAATTATCGCATTCAGAGAACGGAAGATTCGATGACTGAAGCTGTTCGAGAGGCTAGAAGAAGTGGTATTTCTGCTCGCAAGCTTACCAATGAAGAGGATATAGATGCAGAAGGAGTATTGTATGACACAGGCATTGTAGATTGACGGTTAGTTGAAAATATTTACTAGCTATATCTATATAAAACTTTAAACGCGTTTTTCTCGAAACGATGTTTTTCAAATCGGCGTGTCAGATTACTCTTACAATTTTCAGCGGACTGACTTGAAACTTTGCACAATTCTTCCCCGTGGTATAATCTAATGATGTACGTAGGACTTTTGCTGTAGCGTTGTTATTTTTTTTTAATGCACAATTTTATATACTTTTTTACCCTAACAAATTGACCTTTTTGTTAAAATGACCGCCATTTTCTTAAAAATCGAAATTTCGTAAAATCCCTACATACAGCATTAAAAAATATTGTTGTTAATAGGAACATTCTTTGGTTTTTTTTCTAGGAGCCTCGTACAGAGTGGAATTTGACACGCCGTCTAACGGTGTTCCTCCAAAGTAATGTATTTTGGCGCCACCTACAAGAAATTATTTTTGACTTTTTCAGTTTCAAAAAATGTGTAATTACAGATTAAAGTTAATTAATGAATGACTAAAACCGATTTTGTTTCTGCGCATTCTTTGTATGCAAAAAAAATTCATGAAAAACGCCTCCAAAATCGCAATCAAAGGTGGTATCCTGCCTTAAAATAGTTCTTTTCAAAACTTCATATTTAGCCTTGCGGCAGAAAATACGTCAGTCATTTCTTTCAGAAGTATTTGTAATAAGTGTTTCTCCGTGATCTACGATAGTATTTTGGAAAGCTCTCGAGATAAGCTACAAGATATGTAAAAATAAGGGGTTCTATATAAAATATTGAAATCGACATTCACGTGACTTTCAAATGACTATTCAAGGTCAAACCAATAACACCATCTTATGTCTCCCTTGATACCATACAACTTTAATCTGAAACATTCTTTTCAGAAACGCTTAGTTATCCAAAAATGCTTGATACGGGTGCGCTGATGCACCATGTATACTTGAAGTATACACTCTAAATACTTCCATTTAGGTTGGAATTGACTAAATATTACTTTCAAGGGTATAAGGAAGTGATTCCAGCCATTTTGGTCCAATTTTGAAAGGTGCCGAAAACAGGCCTTAAGGACCCTTCTCCTTTCATTAGAATCGGTGAATGACAATTGAGTAGTGTTACTTGTGAGTGTGGTGGTATGCGCACAATTTTCGGGGAGAATGAAAGTGTTCCGGGCCACGATTGCTATTAAACCATTTTTTTTCTATTTTCCCTCATATCAGAGAGTGAAAATGCACTGTCAATTTTTGGCACAAAGCGCTGAGACTGCCGGAAGCAATTATAATCTGTCTGAGTGTGGTAGTATGCGCACAATTTTCAGGGAGAACGAAAGTGTTCCGGGCTACGATTACTAATAAACTATTTTTTTTCTATTTTACCACATATCAGGGAGTGAAAAGGCACTGTCAGGTTTTGGCACAAAGTGTTTGGACGTTCTGTGGAAATTATCATCTGTATGAATGATTATATGTGCGTAATTTTCAGGGAGGACAAGACTTTCTTATAATGTCATGTCATATTTAACACAAATTTATCTTTCATATGTAGTCTGTAAAGTAAGAGCATGTACGGATTAATGTGTAGAAAATGTTATTTTTAATGATTTTTAAGTACATGGATTTGTTGTACTTCATGAGATGAAAAACGCTATACCATTAATAATGAGTCCAGTCACCATCAGCATTGATAATTGCTTGTCATCTCCGAGGCATACTTTCCACTAAGTTGACTGCGTGTTCGTTCGATAAAGACATCCAAATGAGACGAATTTGTCGTGTCAGCTGCTTCAAAGTGTACATCCTTTTTCCTCGAAGCTTGTGCTTGAGATATGCCTCACAATACGGCTAAAAAAAAACTAGGACGATATTTGAAGCCAACTGCCATTTATGCCGTACCCGCTCTTACTTTACAGACTGTATTTACATTTATATTAAGTGGGTTTTCGTAAAATAAAGACTATTTTCAATTTTCGCTCGAAGAATGCTCCAAACTTCAACGTCGTCTCATTTGAACATTATTGAAACTTTGATATACCCAAAGTAAACACGCTTAAATAAAATGAAGCATTGGTGTAGTATTAAATTGATAGACTCCATAATCCGAAGCCGTTTCGGGTATCCGAGTTCGTGTCCCACCAGTACCAAGTGTTTGTCAAATGTGATGTGATATTTTTTTTTTTTGGTAACGCAGGGGAAATCCATCATGGATACCCCGACCTTTGGAAGGTCGGGGGCTATGTCAGACTCCTACTGACTAAAACCCCTGCGGGATGTCTACCATTCGGACCGTGATGGGGGGAGTCAGGGGAACTACTCCCATATTCCCTCCCCGACACCCCGGCCCCAGGGCTCTCCGGGAGCCCCACGCCATCGAGTACCGCACCCTGTCTCACTGAGGAAGTCCAGGGCGCGGTCCCCTGGCCGGTTTCCCGATCGGGTTGGCCTTCCGGTGATTACTTAGAGAGAAGGGACATCCACCCTCCCTCCGCGCCCCTCTATTTCTCTATAATTGCATCGGAGGGAGGTGGGGGAGTGGAGCCCGGCCCTAACCAGGCTTCCATCCCCCTTCGCCTATCCTATCCGACGCCTAGGGGGGAGGCGAGCGGGCACTCACCCGTCGCCCCCCTCCCCCGCCTCATCCGAAGTTGGGCCCGAGGCGGCCTCCAGCGAACCGGTGATAGCCTATTCTCCTTCTCGGACGGCGCCCCCTCGGGCGCCCACTGCCCAAACCCGGGGAGCACCGTCCCCCCCGCCACTCTCTGCGGCGGCCCCCGGGACAACGCTCCCAATCGGCGGCCTCCTTCCGCGACATCACGTCGCGACAAAAGGAGGCCGCCTCTCCCCACACCTCCTCGCTCCCGCAAATGGCTTGCACCATGCGCGGGAGCGAGAGATCGTTCTCCCCGCATCCCACTGCCCGGGCGAGGACACCGCACCTCTGGCTCCATGCAGGGCATTCGGTCAGGGTGTGGTGCACGGTATCGTCCCGCGCCGGGCAGTGGTGGCATCCGGTGGTGGTCTCCTTCTTCACCCGGTGCAGGTAATGCCTGAAACTACCGTGTCCTGTCGTCACCTACACCAGGTGGTAGGTCAGTCCGCGTCCCCTCCTGCCTGCGAACTCCGCCAGCAGGCGCACGGGCGGACAGCCTCCGTCGTCAGTTGCCCGAACTCTCGCGGGGCGGACATCGCGTCCGCCCACCGCTGCAGGGTCTGAGCAACCGCCTAAGACTTCAGGGCCGCTAAATCTCTGGCCGATACCTCCCCCCTTTCGCGGAGCTCCTTTATCCTCCAGTAGAGGATGCTTCTTTCCTCAGCTAGGAGCTCCACGGGAGGGGGAAGCCGACCAGGGACGTCGCCGCCATATATGATACGAAGCGGAACCTCCGAATCGCCCTCACAGCCACCGCCCTCAGCACCCAGCGCATAAGGTTTTTGCCTTGGGCGGTGGCCAACAGTTCGGGCGCCGATATGGGCGCCCCATAGAGGGCGATCGAGAGCATCACTCCAACATAAAGGCGTGCCAGCCCGGGCCCCCTTGGGTCTGCATTATTCTGACTAGAGCCAGACCCGCCTTTCTAACCCGGGGAGCCAGGTCCCTGAAATGGGCCTTGAAATCCCATCGGC